AGCAGCCCAGTAAATGCCAGAGTGAAGCACAGAGGAGAATCACTTTAAGGAACAAAAGTAGCATCAGAAACAAATCTGAGCTGATCTGGGTATATGAGTATAAATAGGTGTGTGGGATGAAAATAATGTAGCTCATTAGGAGGTTATGAGTGACAAATTACTTTTTTCTCTCTGTCTTCGCACCATTTACCACATGTGCAGTGTTGTGTAGGGAAGAATTATTTCTGTGTGAAATACATAATATTCTCAAAGCCTGTTTGACCTTGGACATCTACAATCCCATTTCTCAAAAAAAAAGCTGGGACAAAAATGCACAGCAAAACAGGAATTTTAAAATAATTTATTTGACAATAATACCAGGAAAACATCTTATCTTTTTTAAAAAAAGGCCCATTCCAAATTGAATATTTTCTGAGATTGTCCTATTGATATTGGTTACATTTTAACCAAACTAGCTCAAGACTTCAAAGAGCACTTCCAAATCGGTACAGCAGAACAACTAGAAACAAATAACTAACGACCTTTTTTAAAACTAATACAAGTACCTTCAGGGTAATTTTGAGACAGTACGCAGTACACATTTTACAATTATGCTTTTTAATTATATGCTGAAAGACTATAACTTTATTTCTGAAATAAATTTTTTTTTTTTACAATTTTCTCCAAACCAACATCTTCACTGTTGCCCCTTCCAAAACTAGGAATTATCAAAGGAGATTAGGATACTTTGCAATGCAGCCCCACTCCCCCAAATACTAATGTGACCTTAATGAAGAATAAAATTTCACCTCATCTGAAAACATGCGCTGGAATGAAAAACAAAAACCGCTGAATCCTTGAACATGAGGGATGGCTCCTTTAAAGTGTGTAAGGGTGTGGACTTGAGGAGGGTTTATTCTGTGTGGTGGGTGCGTCAGAGGTATTACCCAATCAGCTGCAGCATGTAAAAACCTCACTATTATAAAGGAAGAGTGATTATTGCTGACAATGGTTCAACTGCCATTGGCATAAAGCTTGGAGAACAGGATGTATGAATGTTTCACCATTTGCTTAAATAAACAATACATCACAGGTCACATAAGTGTACCATGTATAGCAATGTGGTTTGCACACACTGTTCACTGATCCTGATGATGTAAGTTTCCCTTACATCCCAATGTGACGTTCACACGTACTGCAGAAGCACTTACCACTCTTAAGATGAAATCTGGTGCCTTTTGGTTAATCATGGCTTTGGATTTTACACCATCATTGGGTGAAAAGTAAACTGCATACTTTCTGACTCAGGCACTACACCTGCAGCCCAACTGGCAGTCAGGTGCCCACTTGCATGATGTATTTCCCAAGTGTCCCTTAAGATTCCAAACAGATGGACACTGAAAAGTGCTGACTGGGGCAGGCTTAATTATTAAATATCCTGTCACTACTGGAGATAATGAACATGGCACAATCCAGTTAAAATAACCGTGTTGTGACAAATGAGGAGAACACAGTGTTGCCCAACTTTGGGTCCATCTTCTAATTTTCTGTTGTGTTTCATGATCCCATATCTGTCACCAGTCAGCCATCATGTTACAGCTACTATCAGGTAAAGTGAATGATATGGATTATGAAACCCTGCATCCTGGAATTGCTGCAGGTTTTGCTTTGTGGCAGAAAGAGACTCCCAGGGAGCAATCTAAAAACAGCAAGGAAGTGAGGTAGAGATCCATGAGGTGGCTTTCAGGTAGAGAAAAACCCAAATTAAATATGGATTTTTTTTGATGTGCAATAGGGACTATTCTCTGAATTTTTTATTTGTTGGTTAGGATAATGAGTCTTATCAGTTGTACGTCATCATCGGCTGTCAGTGCGATGACTGCTTGCTTGCCTAACTTGTCTGAATGTTCTGTTTTCCGCTGTAGTAGATGGGTGGAGCAGATTCATCAGGTTAATTGAAGAAGCAGCGGCCCAGTATTTCCCCAATAAAACCCAACCTTTCCTCAGACCTTTGGGAGTTCTTCTTTCACGTGCATCTTTGTTTCATGTCACGCAATGCATTCAACACCATGCTATCCACTCATGCACTCACACACCCTTACGACTCATTATCCTGATGTCAGCACTTTCCCCCCCGCCTGTGCTATTTCATGTATTTTGTTAAATATTAGCAGCTAACCTTGGTAGTTTTTTTTTCTAATGAGTTAACTTACACTAATGTCCCAAACATGTTCTGTATTCCTGTAAATGAAGGAGTCTGACATTGGGCTCATGCACGCTGAGTGATGATTCTTGTAATAATATACTAGTAATGCTGCTGACTGAGAAAAGTGACTTGTTAGGAATCCATTACCAAAACTTGAAACCCTTTTGTAGCTGCTTTGTGCATGTTTGTTATATAGCTTACTGTACATCTACCTCCTGAGTGTAACTCAATTATAAGCTAGCCATGACTATTTCTGAATAACAGGACTAGAATCATTCTCCTTCTTGTCCTTTTCATGATCACATTGATGTGTAATAATTGTTTGAAATAATTTTGATCTTCAACGTTTTTGTTCACACTAGTCGTGTTCATGGTAACACACAGAGCAGTGTCACACTCTTCCTTGTTCCGGCCCACTTGTCAACCAATCAGCATACGATCTCCAGTGGACGGGAGCTTGTTTGCTTAGGTTGAAAACCCGTTGATGTAGGCCTACACACAACTACAGTCCCACAAAACAAGTGTCAGCAACCTGTTTGCAGGTTTAAATCATTCAATGGTGGCGCTAACCTCCACCAATCACAGACATTGCCGTTTCAATTTAGAAGACTGCAGGCAGAACGGTTCTTCTGTGAGTGAAATGCTTCAGTTAAATAAAATAAGCTTGATATCACGCAGCCTTGTAGTTTCTATGAGAAACCAGGTTTCACATAACTACTTTGTACGGTTACATTATGACTCATAATGAAAACCCATATGGAGAATACGAATGGCATCTTTTCTTCACGAACCTGCCACCATGATCCTCTCCCTTCTTGCTATAGCTGAACTATGCATGCTAACTGATGCTGGTGTAGAATAGAGTAAAAATGTGAAACTTACAAAGTACCTAAATATTAAATGTGCGTGTTATTTGCTAAGATAGTCTGAGGACTCCGATATAAAAGTCACACATGTATGTAGTCTTATTTTTTAAGTGGCCCTGGATTGGACCAACCCTCCATGATGCCTCAAGGTCAAACAGCACAGATCCAAGGGTGCAAACGTCCCTGCTTGCTCAGTTTAATGGATAAATCAGACACAGAGAAACAAAATGTGGACGCAGTACGACTTATCAGTGAGAAGTGGCACTCGAAAATAAAATAAAATGATAGAAAATACAACTTTTTTTTAACACTGTATTTTTCCATCTCCACATAACCATCAAAATGACATTTTTAGAGTTTAGAATGTTTTATTATAGTTTATTGTGATAGCATTTTCTTTTTTTCCCCTTCTTTTTTTCAAGGTTTTCTTTTTTCCAGAGAACAAACACAGCAAATAACGTTGAGGGGAAGGGGAGGAGAGGCAGGTAGAAGAGGGAAGAGTGAGAGGAGGGCCACATAGATAAGATAGATAGATTGGTAAGTAGGCAGATAGACGCATCAGGTAGGTTTGGCTTGATCCTCCCCCTGTAACCCCTCTGGGTCCACACACACACACACACCCACACACCCACACACACACTACATGTTGCTTTACAAAGAATATTCATCATCAGAAGAAGATTAATAACTGTCTGAATATATCTAGTACTTTAAAAAAGAAAGTAAAATAAGAACACAGATTCACTCGCACTGCCGTGAAACCCAAAACAGTTGTACGGTTAGCCAGGAGAGCAAACACAGCGAGGTTAGATAGAAGGGAATATATGTATGCACCATCTACCTTTGCATACATATGAATTTGTGGGTGCGTGTGTGTGCAGGGTGGACGAGAAGCGAAGAAGAAAAACAAAAACCTAAATGTGGGTTTAGATTCATTTTAAATGCCCCGATTCAAACTGGGCTTCTCTCCAAGTCATATCACGGTCTCTAAATGTGCACGTCTCTCTCACTGTGTATGTGACTCTAGCTAATTAGTGGTCAAATGCCTATCTGCAGATAAAAGGGTTGCTCTTTTTAGCAGCTGTCCAAATCTCTCAGGGGGGTGGAGTTAAGGCAGACAGCTGATTTTGGGTCAGATTTGTTTTTTCTTCATCCTTTGTTTGATGAGAAACACAGGTAAACACGATCATTTGGCATTAAAAACTGGTAGAGTGGTATTGTTACCAAACAGTTTGAGAAAGAGGGGAAAGGAGTGAACGACTGAAGCAGTACAGCATGATCATAACAGTAAAACGGTGCCATTCCATCTGGGATCTTGAAGCCAAAAAAAAACCCCAAAACAAAACAAAAAAAACATTGCAGCAGCCATCGATCAAGCTCTAAACAGTATACATTATATATCTGCAGGCTAACTCTGGGTGGAAATCTTAGCTCACTTTGACATTTGCAGCTGGAGTCCGTTCTCCACCAGGGACTGTGAATGCCTCTGCGCACCCCTGTTAACAGCTTGTTATCATTCATACTTGTCATTTAAAAGAAAGGACACCATCGACCCTAATATAACAGGGCAGCTCGGTACCTTTGGGTTTAAATGAGAATTGTTTAAAACGCTAAAAAGCTGCTTGAAGGCTCTTTTATTCCATCGCATGGTGTAGAAATAACTAGACCACAACAACATGCCAAGCTTCAGCTCAAAAAAGCCACAGAAATCTAAAGATCTATATATATACACACACACACAAAAAAAAAACAAAAAAAAAAGCGCCTGATAAATATAGAAAAATAATAAGAAACCCCCCAAAATCCTAAATTGCCAATTCATTTTTCCTAAAACTTCATAACTTCATCATGGTAACCACTGCTCTCAACATCCCTTTATCATTTCAACTTTCCTGTTTTTCTTTTCTTCTTTTTTTTACATCTCTCCCAAAGAATCCGTGTTCACGCTCAACAGTTTGGTCTTTTATTCTCTCTCCATGTGGTTTAAAACACTGTAAGCAGTTTTTAGTGTTCAGTAATACAAATCATCTGCAAATGAACAAAAAGGGCACAAGGACAGAGAGAGAACAAGGACAAAAAGCAGGGAAAAGGAAGGACAAAAAGGACATGATTTGCACATTTTTTTATGGACAAAATACAGAACGACTTGGAGCCTCCCCCACCTCACAGACTGACAGTGGAATACTTGTATCATCCCTATACACACAGGCACAGAATGAAAACTGACTCAGCGTGTTGAAACATGTCCTGCTATCAACACGGTCTTTAAAAACATGTACAGATGTGTGTATAGACAAAACACAGCGCCCGCTTTATTCCATATAACCAGCCAGTTAAGAGTGTTTCACGTCTACCCTCGGTCATGTCTCCATCTTGACAAAGTCAACTCACCGCAGAGCTTTGCGATCCTGCGGCACTGAATCATCCCAACAACACCCAAAAGAATTCAGAGGAACTGCTGGAATAACACTCCGATAGGTGTCTAACCAAAATCTACTGAGGAAAAACTACAAATTAGGTGGGCACATCTGCAGGTGAGGCGGACTCTGTCCTCGTAAACCTGCAGGATGACTGGTTGGGGTGCAGCTCCTAGACCTCATGAAAATGGTTAAGAGACTCGGGGGAGATGAGATGCAGCGAAAAAAATGCAGCAGGAGAGAGACAGAGAGAGAGAGAGAGGTTAAACTGTTAAGAGAGCCTGGACATTTCTGTAGAAATGCAAGAGGGTCGGAGCAGGCGAGGAGGAGGAAGGGTTGAGGCTGGAGGTTAAGGAGGCGCGTTCTGGGGCTTCAGCAGCAGCCCCCTCCAGCCTGGTGGCCTCCCTGGGTATTGGACAGTGTGGAGTTGGTGGTGGGATGCTGGGGTCCAATCTTAATACCGTTAGCCTGGGTGGACACAAACACAAAGAGACCAAAGGTAAATAAAAAATCTCATCTGAACAAGAACAGAATAAAGCCTCCATGTCACCATTACATGCTTGTGGGAGGCCTCATTATTTCTTTGTACATTTCATACTGACACCTGTCTGTTTAGTTCAAGCTGGTCACTTATTTTCTCTCCGGTCTACATAAAACATGAGAACCATGACTCTACATCCAATTTAAATACTAGATGGACTATTTTTAGTGTTTTACTCACTACCTCTTCTCACACATAGCACAGACCTGTTCCTATACAAAAGTTGGATTCACTAAAATAATCACAAACTAATTTGCAAGCATGAATAATAAGTCATGGTTGTAAATCCACTAATGATTTAGCCAAATATTCAGTGATTCTGATAGTCATCGCTTGGGCAGGCACTGGATTTTAATTTTTGAGAATTGGGAACTCTGCTTGTTCAGCATGTGAAAACACTGTACTGCGTCTCCTTTGTCAAACCATATTAGTGGATTTTAGCCCACAGCTAAATAAAATCCACATAAAGTTTCCTACTTCACAGTGGTATCTAGCACCACAGTGTTTGCTGTGTTTATCAGTGAGGCTTCAGAGTGAGAGCAGCAGTGCGCAGTGTGGCAGAAGAAAGTAAAGACACCTCTGTCTTTCTTTGAGTGACCATTTAACTTGTAAATATAGTCAAAATCAGGCCACAGACATCACCTTTCAGCCAAGCACACAGTAGAGCAGGGCGAAATGACCAAAAATATTTATCACGATATACATTTGAAAATTTGCAATAACGATATAACTGACGATATAATTGACACTAGACAAAATACTTTACAACTCCACAACTTTATTAGTGCAAAAAACCCATCAATGTATTTTCACTTAAACAAGCAGCTGTTTTTTATGTGCATTAAAGTTATATAAAAATTTAACAGTGCAAATTCCTCGCTGACAGTTTAACCAAAAGGCATTTCCAGTGGAAACTGGCCGACATATCCTCAGCATAACCATGTATAATATCCACAAAACTTAAAAAGAGTTATACACACACAATACGGTAATATTATGTTGAAGCACAGTACGTATCACTCCGCGAGGCTGCCTACGATAGCTGTAATGCTCCGACAATCCATCAAGCGGTGCGGCTTCGTAGCTTAGCAAAGTCGTACTAAAACATTTGACAGATTTTCGAGCGCCACATAAAATCGTTTCGAGGTCAGTAAACACAACCAGAGTTCATACATAAGGCACACGGGATTATAAGGGGCACTGTCGATTTTCAGAAAAATCAAAGGATTGATTTTAAGTGTGCCGTATTTTCCAAACAACACGGTAATAACGACGGCCCGCTAGCATGCGCTACCAAAAATAGTGCTTTGTTGTGTATCTGACGGACGAAAGCTAAACCAGTTCCACACCACTGAAGTTGCAGCATTTTTACAAACCAGTTCTGGTTCATCGTTTCATTCAACGATCCGCTTTCGCCCTTCTCATTCTCTGTCACCACCATGCGAAAAAGCATGGTGGAAAAACGCCATGTGCGTACAAAAACAAAGGCACTTTTACGCGTTTTACCCATATTCTATCGCGATATTTCATTTTCTTATTGTTGCCCAACGTTATACCGGTATTACTGTGAACGGTATGATATGGCCCAGCCCTAGCGCACAGTGCTTTTGTTGCAGCTATAAAAATAATCAGACATGAGTAGAACATAAAGTGTCCCATGAAAGAGGCATTGACAGCGTGAGAGACCACAGCATCAATTCATCTTTGAGTCTTTAAGTGCTCAGAGTAGAAAAGTGCTGAAGCAATTACTAACTGAACCTGGAGTCTGGAGGGGAGGGACGAAAAGCAACAGCTGATGTCCAACAAAGTAAACAGCACAGTTTGGAAGGTAAGAGCAGGTATTTCTATCGGCACTATTAGGAAATATATTTTAAAATAAGCAGGGATTTTTGTCCTTTTTTTTGTTTGCTGTTGTTGTTACCCATTTTATTGACCTATTTGCCATTTCGGAGACATGACAGTGTTGGTCCTGGTACCACTTTACCCAGTTACCTGTGACATTTTCCAGTCTGTAAGATGTCACGTAAAACAAGGCAGACCAGTTTATATTATTCTTAAAGGTTCAGGTTACTGCAACATTCAGGTGACAGCTTTAAATTCCTGTAAGAGAGTTTAAGCAAACACTCCTTCGCAGACTTTTCGATGTCTCTCACTGTGCCCATAGTGGGACCAGGCCCCTATCAAACAACAGGTGTGCCAAAGCTAGGAGAAGGCGGCGTGTGAACATGCAGCTGAGCTCAGTGAGCTATGCAAGCTGGCAACTGTCGGCAGTAACAAAGTTAACCAGAAAACTTTTTTGGGTCTGAATGTAGTCCCGTGGTGAAGTATGTTTAACAGGATAAGGCTTCAAACCAATGCCTTGATGTCCACTTTATTCATCCAACTAATAGCATCATAGCATCATTCACAGTGTAGCTAATGTTACAGAATAGAATAGCCCTTTATTGTCATTGTACATGTACAATGAAACTGTAGGATCACTATCGGTGTCTAGACACAGTTAGATTAACAAAAATCGAATTTGCATCATAGATTTCTTCTCTTTTCGTTTTTTTAAAACACAAAAACAGTCATATACTGTATAGCTCAATGAAATGGAAAAACAGGCCCAGCTATAACAAAAAAGTGCAATCGCAGTATTGGACTAAATAAAGCCACCTCAGAATGACTGTGTTATAGCTTTCATGGTGAGATTAACACTGAACCGTGCCTGTGGGAGCTCCTATTAGATCTCATCACAGAGGAAGCAACAGGTGCTGCTGCGTAGCACAAAAGAAAAGGAAACACCAGCAGCACTCAAGGACGCTGGGGGAAAAAAAGAAAAGCACTTGTAAAAGAAAAGAAACGAGGAAAAAGAGAGGCAGGTGGGTGGTAGGGAGACACTTTCATCTCTCCCTCCCTCTCTCTGTACTGTAGTGCGCACTTTCCCTCTGTGTTTCATCATGTCTCTCTCTGTGTGGCTGTAGCACAGTCTCAGCCTCCCTCGCTCTCTGCCTCTGTATATATTTATCTCCTCCTCTCACCGTAACCCCCCCTCCTACATTCAGTAGCAGTAGTGCCTCTGGGAAACCCTGTATGCCTTTAAATCACATTTATTGAGCTAAGGCCATGTGTGTGTGAGAGTGAGTGTGTGTTTTCTCATAGTGACTGCCAACATTTCTGGTGGGGCTTCCCTCTCTCTCGCTCTCCCTCGCAGCCAGTCAGCTGATGTGGTTTGGCCGGCCGGCCTGCCTTCGCTCCGTCTTACTGTTACTAATAACAAAAACACTCTGTGGCTGGCTTCCTCCAGCTCTGCCTGCCCACTGCCTGTACTTGAGGGCTGGCGAGCCTGACAGGCACCAAACTCTGGCACTCTGCATATGTGTGTGTGTGTGTTTGAGAACCATTACATGACTTACATCATGTGACTACAGGAAACACATTTATGTGCTTCACAATTTGGAGATAACCATCTGGACTGGATAGCCAACTTGGTGCACGTCCACAGTGAACTTGATATTAGCCTCTCGATGGAGATTCACCTTCAGAGATTCATCATGGGGTTGCATTATTATCACAGCCAATCAGAGCATTGTAGGCAGTATTATCAACTGTGGATGTTACAAAAGCTTGTGTCATGTTTAAGTTTATAACTAAATATGTTTAATAATGTGGAAAAAGATCTTGAACCTACAATGATATTTGTGTTAACAGGTCCTGACTTTAACCACAATGAGTAACTATAACTTGCATTTTTCTGTAAAATTGAGGGATTTCTTTTATCAAGAAAAAAAATATTATGTAATTATTTAGTCTGTATATGCTGTCAGAGCTCATAGATAGAAAACGTGAATCAGCTAAAATCGGTATCGGCAGAAGACACAAATCCCCTTTGGGGTTGTGTCAGGAAGGGCATCTGGTGTAAAACTCTGCCAAATCAAACATCCGGAGCTACCCGCTGTGGTGACCCCTTGTGACAAGGGAGCTTATACTTCTGGGAGAACAAGAAGGAAAAACCCCCACAAAAAAACAAAAACCAAAACACAAATTGGCCAAGAAAATTGCAGTCAGTGCATTTCTAATACAGTTAGCCATTTTTATTATTTATTGTAATTGTTTATTCCATTTTCCCCCAATTTGAATCTGTATACATCCTTCTCCTTTTAAACTCACTATTCAGTGCTGTCACAGTCTATTCCGTATGTTTTTCCATACTTGGAATGTTAATCCTTTTTCCTACACTGGGAAAGCACTTTGAGTTCACTCCCGTCACGCTGTATAAATAATAGTGCTCTGAATTTTAATGAATGGATTCCGAGTGTTTGGATTTTGCACTCTTTATGTGAAATTAGCCTTTCTTACACTTAGTCTTTCACTAAGATGATGATATGAATCTCAATGTCTGGTTCACAAACTTTCTATTTGGCTGGATGGGCAGCTTCCAGTCTGACTGGCTGGCTGAGTGTTTGTTTTCTTGCCCAATGACTGAGACCTTGTGGGATGTGAGGAATTTATGAGCTGGCAAGATGCCGAGAGAGAGACAGAGAGAGTGAGACAGGGAGACTAAGACAGGGAGAGAGCGCAAACTAAGAAGTGAAGAGAGTGTGTGTGGAAAATAGAGCAGAGGAGAGGAGGAACACTGGGAGTTTTGCTTGGTTGCAGTCAAAGGAAGCTGAGTGGAGGGCTTTTTTTCCCCTTCTTTTTGAAAGAGAGGGAGCATGGCAAACCACACACACTGCTGCAAAACCACACTGAGGAAGAAGAGGGGAAGGAAAGAGAAGAACAAAGAAGAGAGAAGGCGGCTCAGGGAGGAAAAAAAACCCAACACAGGAGGAACACAGTATCTCACCTCATTGTTGATATCAAACACTCCCTCCTGGATCTTCTCATAGATCTCCTTGGCTGTGTTGATGAAAGCCTGCCGTAGAGACAGGAAGTGAAACAGACAGAGAGGACAGGAAGGTTAAAACCATCTTTTTATGCTGACTCCTATAAATGAGCCTCATGTCATTAGGAATGCAAAGCAAATTCAAGTTTCAGTAACATAACCAGGCTCTGACTTTCAGCCATTTACTGTTCAGCTGCAGCCCGAGCTTCCCGTCACAGCTCAAAAACACCTCACAGAACTTTGAAACTTGACATCACAGTGAACTTACCACTCCCAGTTTTATGCCCTCTCTCACATCAGTGACACAAAGCATGAACTGATCTGTTAAATATTCCATATAGGTGTGTCAAGTGCAAGTAACAAAGTCAGACGATCTATATTTAAGTGTTGGCTGCTGAACACAAATAAATTCACAAGTTTGTGTGAGTGGAAAAAAACACCTGGCAGGCAAATGATAACCAAAAACGGTCACCAAAATATCTGTGTTCGATGGTGCAGTCTCCACATGATAAAGGCATAAAATGTCTGCGCAGCTGTGCTTACTCTGGAAAAAATGCTAACTGCTAGGATAGGTCAGACATACCTTGACTTCAGCTCTCTATTTAAAGCACAAACAAATCCTTTCAAACCTTTAAGTTACTTATTGGACAACAAACACACTAACACCAATGAATCCACAAGCAGATAATATCAGTCTTAAGTAAATGCATTTCATAAAGTGTTGTATGATTAGTCATGCTTCTAAAATAATGTTAAGTATTTGCATGCTAAGTTAACCCTAAAATTAGTAAAGAAAAAAAAATGTCAACCTAAAGAAAGATTTAAAAAAAAAAAAAAAGGTGACATCATGCTGCATGCGACATAAAAGCTGCATGTAGAAAATGTCAAGCTAATAAAATAAACCCTCAGAAAAAGAAACAAAAACAACTTAAAAGTTTAAAAGGCTTCTTCTGCAAGCTATGTTTCTAACATGTAAGCACACAGTTGCATAACTCTGCAGCCTCTAACAGCTCATTAGAAGGCATGTAGGTCCATCTTTTATATTCAGTCTATGCTTCTCACATGTAAATTCAGCGGGAGTTATGTCTGGTGTTTTTGTGTTTTGATTCTTTGAACAAATTAGCTCAAACATGTTAAAGATATCTCATATTTGACTTCAGAGCTACACATTTATCATAACTTGCAATTTACCAAATTATATAGACAGAAAGAAAGAAGAGTAAAATTGGGGCTTTTGGCACCCCTGAGCTCTTTGGAAGATGTTCTCAAAATTGTGTTTTGTTAAGGCTTAAAGAGCTTATGATGTACACTACTACTGAGAAGTATGATTGTTCTGCAAATACTATCCAAGCCCTTCAAGCCAGCTTTGAGAAGTTAAGGCGATATGGCGTAAGACCTTGTTAGAAGATGCAGTTGCCCTTTTGAGCAGATCAGCAAAAGAGATCTGAGCAGAACACACAAGCAGACAATACAAAGTTTGTCACACACACACACACTCTCTCTCTCTCTCTCTTTGGGCTTACTAAGAGCACAGCAAGGATCAAAGATGATTGAATAAAGTAGAATTAATCTCCCTGAGCGACCGGCCTATGACTACGGTATCGATGCATTCGTCTCCAGCGGGAGTCTTTCTGTCTCAAGGGTCCGAGCTCAAGAGCAGCTGGGATAACTAGAAATGCGACACCAGCTCAGATGTCATAACCTTCACTCTATGTAGGAATGATCTAACAATGCTGGCTCATATAAGTAATGGCAGTCAAAACTAAGCCTCATCAGAAAAAAAGGAATGTTCAAGAACTGAAAATATGTCCTGAACTTCTATCTGACACCCTGTCGGAAATAGACTGAGCCCAAGGGTGCACTCTAGTGTACTCTGTCCTCCTCATGCTGTCCTCTTTCCCTTCTTCAACTCATCACTGCACCCTCTTTACCATCAAATGTACTTAGACTTTCTTTTTTTGAGTTAAACTAATGGACCTGCAGATATGTGTAGAAAGTGAAAACAAGAGGGAGAAAACTGAGGTGACTACAGAAGATTTATAGATGGTGATAGGGCAAAGAATAGAGAGTGAAAAACCATTACATGGCTGATAACAGAATACTGGGAAAAAATATTTAAAAAAAAATTAAATACAGTAAACAAGCAATTAATCAGTGGGCAAAAAACAAACAAAAAAAAAAAAACAAAAAAACCAGCAGAGGTGAAGAAATATAAGAAGAAAGACTGGTGAACAAGAACAGAAGCGAGCAGAGGTTAAGGTTAGGATCTTAGTGAAGGAAGGGTGGGCAGAAGAGATGATGAAAAGGTGCTTACAGCAATTTCTCTCCATCTATCTGTAAGGACCATCCTATCAGCCTCAATGTCCACCCACAGACCCTGACGACAAACCCAGCATGCTGATTGGCTGCTGAATGTCGCTGTGAGGGGAGGCGGGGTGGAGGTTATGAATATGTATGAACTATAACCGGTTGATATACTGCTCGAGAGAGGAGGGGAGGCGATGGGTTGAAGAGCAGGAGAGGAGGGAATTGGGGGAGGATAAAAATGAATAAAAAAGGGCAGGAAGACACGTTGGAGGAGGGGGGAGGAAGAAAGGAATCGTGGAGCAGGATGGGGGAGGTAAAGGAGGAGAGCTAAAGAGCAAATGATGGACGTCAAGGGATGAGGAGGGATGGAGCGAGGAGAGATGAAGGGAAGGGTGGAGAGGAGTGGTATCAGGAGGATTCAGAGGACACTAATGAGACAAATTAATCATACCACACACGCGCGCATGCACGCACACGCACACCTCCCCCTTATCTTAACCCAAGAGAGGACTCGACTCATCAGTGGTGTTGGTGTATGTGTTTGCATGATATAGGCCAGGCGTAAGACGGTATGAAGGAGAGATTGGGGGAAAATAAAAGCAAAACAAGACACACACCCAAAAAACCCCAAAACCAAATCACCACTGACACCCACCCACACATGAACATACAGCGCCGTGCTCCTAGCTTGCATGCTGCACTGTGTAGGATAGGATTTATGTGATTGGATAAGTGAGAGAGGGGTCCCAGAAGACGACGCCATGCATTCATTACACACAACATCACCAGGGGTGTCTCTCTCTCAGGGGTGGAGAAGGATGCTCAGAGTGCCAACTGGGGTTTGTGATACTACTGTGAGGCTGGTAAGGTTATATACCACCATGGACACTGCTGGTTAATCAGGAGGTTTGAGTCTGATGTGGAATTTAGTCAAATGTTAAATCTGTGACACAGAACATTATAACAAGAAAAAAAATGTGTGTTGACTTTTACTACTGATCCAAAATGTGCACAGACTTGTTTATCATGGAACATGTAAAAACAAATGCCAACAGACTCAATAAACTAATCCGTAAGGCCAGTAATGTTGTGGGGATGGAGCTGGACTCCCTCAAGGTGGTGTCGGAGAGGCGGATGTTGTCCAAAATAAAGACAATGTTGGATAACACCTCCCACCCACTCCATGACATGCTGGTCAGTCACAGGATCACGTTCAGTGAGAGACTGAGATTACCGAAAAGCACCACTGAACGACACAGGAAATCTTTCCTGCCTGTGGCCATCTCCCTGTACAATCCATCCACTTAACACACTGTTTGCTGCTACAACTATACATGTTTCTTTTCAGCTATTTATTAATAAGTGACATATATATATTGTACTATTCTTAGTTAGCCTATTGTCTGTCTTGTCAATGTTTGTTTATAATGGAGCACTGTAACAAAAAAATAAATAATTTCCCCCAGGGATCAATAAAGTATTCTGATTCTGAAATACATGTGTTTTTGGCATAGACAGGTATATAAAAGATGGATGTCACCCAATGGATTGTAAAGTGCAGGTTTGAAGCCTCGACTGAGCGTCTTCTTCACAGAGAGTGGAAAATCATTTACATGGTGTTTTTTTGGTGTTCTGAAGCCAGATGTGACGAGCCAGGGGTGTGTCTAACTGAGAAACCACGCTATTTGGGTAACAACTTTTCAATCACAACGATAACATCCTGGACAATCTTCTCTTGTCTAACTCTTAAAATACTTCACACTTACACCATGGGCTTGGATGACTGAGACTATGAAGGAAAGGGTTTGTGAAGGTCAGAACAGAGGGTTGTTTTCTGACAGACTTCTATAAAACCACAAGTCTTATTGGAACAACAGTTATTGCTGGTCATTAAAAAAAAAAGTTATGTAGTGTTTAAGGCTATTGGCAGTAAACAAGTCGCCACATCCAGGGCTGGTAAATTAAGCTATCGTGGAACTGCCGAAAACTTTTTATAGGCAGTTCCAGTTTTCTATTTTATAAACAATCTCGCAATCGCTAAAAAGTATCTTACATGTTTTTTAAGCTTTAAAGTTAGAGTTGTGGCAACACAGCCACCTGATTGTGGTCTATTAGTCATGACCTCTGGTGGCGAATTTTAAGGAATTATCAGACAAATCCTCAGGCCTGCCGCTTGAGACATTCAAACATCTTGTACTCCAGTTTCTGTACATTTTATTGACCAGGTTTCTGTGTCTACATGTTGCATCCATACAGTTTTTGTATGCAGTTCTCTAACCAAGATTGCCATTGTTAGCTGATAACTTTGCATTTGGCCCTACTGTCAAAATATGGTCTTTTCTGGCTGCAGACGATGAATGTAGCAACATTACAAATGTTGAGGCTTTTCAGGCCAGAAGCCAACTGATGAGGAAGACTGAAGACTGTGAGTTTGCAAGTTAGACACAAAGTTGATTTTGTGTTACTGTGTTTCTGAGCCCCAATAAAACTTTTTACAGGTAATTTGTTAAAGCTAATGCACTGAATGGTAAATACAGGAATATCAGGGGCGTGTAAGAAAATGAAGGGGTACCGTTATATTTTTAGACATATTTGCACATCTTTTAAAAATAACAAGCATTTAAAATTCAGTTTGTGTAAGAATGGAAAAACTGACTTAACTAGAAGATTTACGTTAGAAACTTACAATGTACTTTGGACCTATAAAAGGACAAAGATGAATTGTGCTTGATTAATGTGTTCCACAAACAGCATGAAGTCTATGAATTCTTTATAGGTTGGTTTTCAGCATTTATCTGACCTGAATAGTAATTTTGAATACAAATTAAACCTGAATGAAAATTTGATTTGTCTGTATGTTTGCATCAGAAACACAGCTGCAACTTGGCTAATAAATTACAAATCTTTTATTAATTCAATGGACAAAATATTTTTCCATCCATATTGTTACTTTGGAGATTTTATATATCTGAGAAAGGAATATATGATTATGCATGAAAATTCCCAAACTGGGCTGAATGCATAGACTGTATATACAAGATGGCTGTAGCTATTCGTTGCAATCCTGTAGCTAGTCCTGTTGCGGTGCTGCAATGTGAGTGTTTTGGCAGTTAAAGTCTTGGTGTCTGGACACTGAGCAAAGGGTGGGTTCTGACTCAGAAATTCAGGGACACAGCACACCCAAGAATCAGTAACAAGGTAGGTCCACCCTAAATCATATCCTTCCTCTCCCTTTTAACTAAATGTGATACAAAACAACAAGTATGGTGTACACAAAAAGATCAGAATCTAGACCAGATTGAGGAAGCTGGGGGCCATTTTTTAAAAGTATATTTCTATAAAACTAAACTCCTTTATAAAAAAAAAAAAAAAGGAGAGAAAGAACTCTCCCCCTGCTGGCGATTAAAAAGAAAGCAAGTTAAAGACCCTTCATGTTGGCCTCACCAGCAAGTTATGCTGATTTTTTATATACAGTCCATGTGTTTCGTCTATGAGCCTATGGCAGCGCTTATGTGATAACATACTCACAATAAGCAGATATTTAGCAGGGCTATCACCATCTTCAGATGAACCACCATCACAACCAGCTGACTGTGATTATAAAGACTTCCTAAAATATATTCAAATATAATGCTGACCTCCAAGGCAAATTCCTAATTCAGATAAATAGGTGGTGAAAGCTGGTAGGGTTGCGTGTATGGAATTACCTCCTCTACATTAGAGGCAGTCTTAGCTGAGGTCTCCATGAATATGAGTCCATGTTCTCTGGCAAATGCTTCACCTTCCTCTTTCTTCACCTCTCTCCTTGACTCCAGGTCACTAAAACAATAGATACAATCAATTATAAAATGATGTAGCAAGCCATGAATTACAAACTAAATTGCTAGGCAGTTCAGTGTTGGTCACGTGTATCCTTATTTGCTACAGGATTACTGATTTTACAAAAGCAGTTTTGGTAGAAATTGCAGAAGATCACTTTAAACTATGTTTTTTAAAAATGAAGCACCCTTGTAGCCAAACTCATTACAACTATAGCGTGCAACTGAATTTTCTCTGGGTCCATTCTTGTCAGGGGCTTGTATTTTGTGTACTTCTGGTAACTACTCATTTAAGAAAAATTAAAGCCATTATTTCCATTCTGCATCAAAATGATGAGAAATATAAATTAAACAAAAACAAATTAAACATTTTATGCTCTCTTTGTAAATCCCAAGAAATCTGTACCTACATTTGGCTTGTCTGTTTACTAGTGGGATTATTTAGAACGTCATGGATGGATTTACACAAACATTTTACCAGACACTGGGATTAGCCCAACAACTCAGAAGTGATTAGATTTTGGAGTTGATCTGGATAAAGATCCAAGACATTTTGGAAGGATTTTTTTTAAACACACGGCAAAACCGGACATATAACATATATCAAATTAACATTTTCTTGTTTGAAAACTTATCCTCAAGCTCGTTGAGGTGAGTGATGTTGTGGTTTGGGACTATATAAATAAAATTGAATTGCTACTTCATGATATCATGAAGCTACTTTAAGGTCTTGACTGGGAAATGTCTAGCAGCAGAGAGTAAGAGAGTAATGCCTTCTGCTTTTAGGTGGCTAACTTACTGCTAGCTTAGTGTAGATTGCCGTTTTCTAAATTCAACAATTCCACCTCAGATCACACAAAGTAAATGTCTTTTTAAACGGCAGAGTTAATACCAATGTGTCTGTAATTGTATCAAAAGCTACATTTTTTGGAAACTGTCATTTTACAGAATATGAGTGAGCAAGCAGTTTGTTCAATACCAGCTGAAGAGAACTGTGGAAAGAAACTTCCTCATGTAAGTTGTAAATATTAAAGCACATTTAGCAATGGACGTCACTTGTTGTGACAAGTTTCTTACATGGTGGTGTGTTATGCAAGCTTGAGCACAGAGTGTGTCTGGGGGAGAAAAGCAGAAGTGACTGAATTACACACTTAGTGACAGTGTAAAATTATGACCAGCCTCAGCCATAAAAAACAAAGTCAGACAAGTCATCGTTACACAGCAACATGTTGTAAAACACACTATTAATGGTACAGCGTTATGTAGGGCAGTGGGCAGCCATCACCGTAGAAGGGGGGAGGGGGGGCAAACTAACAAACTAAAAAACATGTTACCTCTTGTTGCCAATGAGCATGATGACCATATTGGAGTTGGAATGTTGGCGGGCATCCTCTAACCAGGTCGTCAAGTGGTTGAAAGTGTCCCTTCTGTTCAAACGAGCACAGATTGATGGTTTCACTATGACTGCATTGAGATCAAACTGAAAGCATGCCAGATAAAGCAGCTGTTGTCACGCAGATGCATAAACATAACTGATTTTACAGATCTGCCGTTTCCTTTTAAATTGGTGACTGATGTGTGTGCCACTTCCTCTTGCAATTATGCCAACTATTTAAACAGAAAACTCCCTCATCCTGAAAAATATACATCTACCTCTGTAACTCCTTTATGCACATTATTCGCAATAATTATTGCTTCAGTTTAATTTCTTACAGGTGACAAATGTGATGGGAATACATCTCCAAACAGTTTTCAACTCTTCATATACCTGAGCACTAACGGATGAATTGTCATTCACTAGGATTGCTGCTTTTATTAGAGTATCTACAGCAAACACATGAAAGGAAACAAGAGACGAAAGAGAGACAGATCATCAAAGCTCGATTCGCCAGCTGGTTTCAAACACAATGCAGTTAATGGTCAAGGCCTTTAAAACACACCAGTGCACCTGAATAAATGAATTTTCTTTTCTTAATTTCAGAAAATTTCATTCATGCAATCAACAGGGTTGGAATTAAAACTTAATATATAATAAAAATCTTCTGATTTAAAAAAAACAAAAAAACAAAAACACTTTGAGACAGTACAACTGGCACTAAGACTGTGAGCTATAAACTACTGCTATAATGAATCTTTATCACCGTATCACAGTTGACAGGATGTCATTACATATCTGACCCCACACTGGCCTTTTTTTCCCCAGCTCATCCTATAATTTCCAAGGCTCGCGATTTTGCGAGCCTTGATGTCTGAAGTCTCTTCAGTGGACTCCAGTTTCCCAGTTCTTAATAATACTTGAATGAAAAACAAAATCTGTTCTGCTCATTTCCAGCATTTTATTTTTCACTCTACTATAGCAACTCTGTGAGACTCAACACTCAAAATGATCCTTATTCAGCTTGTAGTAGGCCTTGGTGCATTCTTTGTCTAAAACAAGCATTGAACCCTTCCCCCTTTACGGCCACCCTCCCTTAAAGCCAACTGTTTTCTGACTGACCCTTGTAAACATTAGGTTTGGACAGCAGGTGGACATATGCCTGAGATGAGTGTATTAGGGATATTGTCACAAACATTACTCAAAACTTTTGCCAGTTTAATGTGAGCGTCTACCATTGCAAATGTGTTTATGTAACAGAAAATTCAGGACTACAAAAGGGCTGACTCCATAGTCAACTGACTGCAACTGCATATAGAATGTCAGAGCTATGAAGGGTAGGATTCTTCCACTGGGGATCATAAATATTCCAAAGAAAACGGATTATCATGAGTTGGTGGAGTGGAAATCCTAAATGAATTACCCTGGACAAAAAGTCATGGGACAGAAAACATTTAACCCCTTAAGAATATGAAACTCAGTCCTCACAATTAAAGGTAATTAAACTAGTAAATGACAATATATATGTTTCTATGGCTCACAGTGTTGAACTGCCGGTGGGTTTTAAACAGCTCGGCTAAAATGCGCTACTGACTTTGGCCATCCTTTCTTTTTCAACAGCAGCATGATGATTTTTACACTAGTATCTTTATAACTTTTGGATAAATTAAGTATTAGGGATACCTCTTTCAACAACATCTGATCTAGCCTCATTGCTAGTGTCTTAGCTCGCTAAGGTCACTTCCATTTATCAGTGCTGTAATTTAACTTTCAGGGATAGCTGGTAAGCCAGCAGATGACAATGGTTAGCATTCAACACTAGCAACTAACGGGTGACGCCAGTCATTTATATACAGTCTACGATGATATCACAACATGCTCATAACATACAAGTGGAGATTATCCATAGTGAGGAAAGGATGCTTGTAATGCGACTGTAGTTCTACTGCGGTTCATCTCTATTGCATTGTGTCTTATAAACACTCAGCTAGCATGTGTATGATTGACTGATGGATTGTTACCTTGTGATGTCATAGACTAGGAGTGCTCCTGCCGCTCCTCTGTAGTAAGACCTGGTGATGGACCGGAACGACTCCTGACCAGCCTGGAGAAACACATGCATATATTAATAAACAGAAATTGAAAGCTGAATAATTGAAATGTCTGCAGACACCTGCAGAGTTGTCGGTTTTTCAAGGGCCCCAACAAAGACTTTGGCTTCACAGGTCTGCTTTTTTAGCTCTGCAATTCATTCAAACAGCTGAGCTCTTCTGCAAGCTCCCATGTTGTCTAGTCCTAATACATGTTATACATCAGTCCTGATTCTCTAGCAGAGTCCAGCTCTGGGTTTTCAGTCAGCTGGGGAGAGGACAGGACAGAGCACAGCCTGTAATCGGATACAATAGAGTTCTCTTTCATTCTCCATCTATCTTTCACAATCCCTTTCTTTCTCTCTGCTTGTATGTCTAACCTTGCTGTTTCTCCATATTTATGATGAACAGAAGGACTAGCTCTGCTAGTCAAGCTGGCTCTCTGGGTCACCTTGTTCAGTGAACCCCACTACATTATTATCATCCCCTTGTTATCTCACTTTTTCGATGTCTTTCTTCGATCACTCATCTTTTAAGTGATCGAAGAAAGACATCTTTCCTTCATTATTTTCATCATCCGGTATTCTTACAACCCCCCCCCAGTCCAATATCTATTCATGTTCTCTTGCTATTCAATGTACAGTAACAATGTCGCCTGTGTTCGTCCAAGCCCGAGCAGAAAACAAAACGACACTCTATCCTAGCAGCTGCAAGTCCCATGCTGCTCTGACCTCATCTGAACACCAGACAGTCAGAAAGACAGGGAGGTGAATCATTCAGCCAGTCAGGGGACCAGGCTGTCAACGTCTCACCCAGCGAAGCAGTTGGTTTGTGAGTCAGAAAACTAGTGAGGACAGCCAACAAGCTGGGTAAGTTAGCCAGATAGAAAGCCATTCAGAAGTTTGGTCAGCCAGTGCAGCAAACACCAAGTTAGCTGGTCACTAGAGCAGTCTGCGAGATGTTCAAGGAGCAGTCAACCAGCCAGTAATGCTATTAGTGAATAAATGATAAATAAGGGTGAAAGAGAGGGAACGCTGTGCCTGTCTGCCATCTGGCCAACAGGCGTGCATAAAGAAACACACAAGCATACATGCGGCAAGTGCAGCCTGCACAATAACCCAAGTGGCTTCTCTAACTATTAGGAGATTATGTACTATACAAATCCAAATTTGTTGCTGAGATTTTCACTTTGGCCAAACCCAGAAAACCAGGTAAAGACAATAATCTCACTGGTGGGCCCCCCAAAATGCACTATCCTGGGACCAGAGAACCAGGACTGAAGTGCTGGTCCCTTTTCTCACACTGCTTCCTTAAGATCAGAGAACAGGTATTCACAGAGCTCTAACGCCATCTGCTGGTTAAAGCTGTAAGTGCAAGCTGTGAAAAATCAGAGTCCACCAATCCAAAAGTCACAATTTACATCATTTTCTGGGACTGTCCCATAATGCAGGCATGCATTTTAGATAAACAAACAAACAAACAAATGAAAAGGGTCCTTGCTCTGCAGTGCTGCACATAAGTTAAATAATAATAAAAGAATAATAATGTTGCAGTTTTTGGAAAAAAATAAAAGCCAAACAAAATTCAATACATTCCTGCCACATTATACTAACAAGCTTGAAACCTTCATTTATAAGACTTAAATACACTTACAGTTGAGGAAACAAATTCAAGTTATATTTTCTGTTTGAAAAAGAAAAGGTAGAAAAACAGTATATGTATTACCGTATCCCAGATTTGCAATTTGATCTGTTTGCCATCTATAGTGATCATCCTCGCGCCGAATTCCACACCTGCATAGACACAATCACAGAAGATGGGTGAATAACCCTTTCTAAATAAAAGCTACACAGATCTTACACAGAAGACTTTTTTCTTAATTGTTAATTATCTGTTGATGGATTCTGATAGCAATCAAATGCTTTTAAAAAGACATGGCGTCTGTATTCAAGCTAGAGGTCGATTCTATATAATATCCATTATCATCTGCCTGCAGGCAATATGCAGGATATGGATAACGTCCTTAACATTATCGCAATTTGACAAGTAAGCACTTGAAACACCTCAAAAGCTTTGCAGATCGGCCATTTGTTGATTTTAACCGAGATGATGAAAATCCATTTATAATTTCTGTTGGAGAAGTCAAACCCAGCACATCGGGGTCAATGACAGAGTTTCAGAAATAGTTTTACAATTTTCAAATGACACTGCTATGCTTTTCCTACTGCACAAGCGTATAGATCCCTCAGCCTAGTTCACAGGAAGAGAGATTTGTGGAGAGGTCTGATGCCAGACATTTTATTTTAAATATGAGCAAAGCTGAGGAGATGGACCCACTTGGACTTATCTCATACTCTCCAGATCCACCTTTATACAGACCATGAAGAGTACCACAATGTAAACACAACCTTAATCAATCTTATCTACAATCTTAAATAATGCTGATGGAGGCTGTGGGGCTTGTGTGATGGCTTCATGCTGTTCTTGTCACACAACCAGTGATCGCAAGTGATATGCATAATGTGTGTAATCTGAGGTTTGAATTTCTACATGACATAACACTTGATAAGGATTATAGCTGCTATAATTACTGGGTCATCTGTGTTTTGAGTCCAACATAAATTGCCCCACAGACACAACAAAGTATACATTGCATTGTGCTTAAGATCAAATTTGAAGTTGAAATCACATATCTGCTCTTAGGCCAAAGGCTAAAATTGGATGTAAATATTGGCTTTATATTTTATTTATTTATTTATTTATTTATTTATCAGTGGCTCCTCCCCTGTAGCAGGGGTGGTGTTCCGGCTGAAGCTGCTTTACAAAGCATGTGATTTCCAACTCATTCTTTCATTGTACATAGATCACACGAGCTGGCAAGAGATCCAGTATATGGCTTAGGCCGCTGACCCACTCGGATTTAAACAGCACTATGGAACTCAGCACTGCTGAGAATCCATACAGGGCAGGGGTGGGTTTTTATTTTGATGGGCACACCGTGCAGCCAATCACATGCAAAGAAGGGCTGTGTGAAAGAAGGAAGGGGGCAGACGTTTTGTGGTGGTACAGACCAGGTACACAAGTGTGTCAAGGAAAAATGAAGAAGCGAGCGAAAACGTAAAATGAGCAGCATCTGCATTTCAATAATACTGGAGACTGCAAAGCTGAGAGCTGGCTTTATGGCCATTCATACTGCACAAAGTAATTAAGCAATTTTCTGTAACGGATGCAATTGTAAGAGGTTATTCCTCTCTGTCAAATCTACTGGAGTTGTACACAGTAAAATCTGAATTATCTGAATATCAGAAGGGTTTTGGTTAACTCAGCATCTAATTACTTTTTACTTAGTTTTTTATGTTGTTAACATAGCATCAGCTATATTACTTTTACTTTACTTTAGTCTGACCTAGTCTATCAAGTTTAATTAGTAAAAGTCATCTAATTATGCTTTATGTTTTTATTATAAATGATGCAGGTGGTCTTACCGATGGTGAGGTCGTGAACTGGCTGAAACCTCTTGTCTGTGAACTGTAGTAATAGACATGACTTTCCCACACCTGAAAAAAAAAAAAGTACACAAACAGAATTAAAGGGGATTCATTCATATGCTGACAATAAAATACTACAAGTCAGAGCCACTGCTGTTTGTAGGTTGGCAAAACACCAAGTTACAACTCTTACATTTTTAATATAAGACAACTGGAGTCAACATCATGTTCAAATGACCCAGCAGGGAGCACACCATTTCATCAGCTTTGCTCCAGTTAACTAACTATTAGCAAGCTAACTGAGCTATAAAAGGTGGCTAATTTTTATGTAGCCAAAAGGGCACTAATGAGCGTGCCTATTTTCAATGGCAATCCACACATACCTTCAGCTCTGAATGTGGCAAACTCCCACAGATACACAAACACTTACAAAAGCAACACTTTCATTGTTCATAATTCTGTTTTAGGTAATTTATTCTCAATTGGAAAAAAACCCCCAAAGCGAAACAGCGAGTTAGGAAGTCAGATGACAGGTGCTTGCAAATGCAATCATTAAATCAAAGACACATTGACTTAACTGCATTACAAACTACAGATGGAAATGGTGAGCAGATTCTCAGAGCGAGTGCGAGCTGTTATTTCCTCAACACAAATATCTAGAAGCATGACAAACACACTCAACAGGTTTGGTGCCACAGTACTTCTACAACATTTAAAAAAGGTTAGTCACTTGTCACTGAGATGTGTCTGTAAGCGTGTAGTAAAAAGAAAATTTCCTTTAGTGAAGAGCAGTTACGAAAGCAAGGAAACAAAAGAAAAAAAAAATACAGCCGTAATTCCTGCCACCTTGAACCTGCCCATTGCCACCTCCAAGGCTAATATGCTACGGTGAGAAATCCCTTAAGGAAGAATATTGATGTCTATTGGTGAAGAGATGCATTTTGAAAGCACTGAATCAACTTTAACTCAACCTGATACAATTTTAACCCTTTTATAAAAAGACCAAGAGTATCAGGAACATTCAAGAAAATGGAGAATGCTGGTATAGAATGATTTACTCAGCAAATATGGTAAGTAAGGCTTTGGAGTCAAAGGGTTTGGGAGTGTGTGAACATATGTGTGTGTAAGAAGAAAAACAGGAGGAGGAAGTGGGGGAGGGATGACCACAGGAGAATAAAAGAGAACGTTAAGGAGACAGTAGCTGGCAGAAACTCAAGGAGGTGCGACATGGTCTTCCTCTTCCATGGTTTCCACGGGTCACAAGTTGCTAAGCAGGGCCTGTGCGACGACGCTGTTGCTAGTAAGGGATGGAGGGATCTCGAGAAAGTTAAATAAAGGTGTAACAGTGAAGTCATTGTTACCTCCGTCAGTCAACAGACACCTGCTCATAGCCACTCTTGCACTACTAAAGCAACAAAACAGTAATAGCAATCTTTCTAATTAGCCACAATGCAATTAACATACATTTTAACATAGCAGAACTTTTCATTTCTGACAAGAGGTAACAGCTTGATGGCTGTGACACAGAGCAAAAGCAACCTGTCTACAGAGGCCTAGAATCAAAGCATGCTGTGTCTTTAAATGCAGAGCATGGCTACAATTGGAGTCATAATTAGTGACTGTGATAGAAAGCACAAAAACAGAAACCAAACAGTCTAGCTCTCACCAGATCTCGTCACACAGAGGAAAATTTGGACATACATGCTGGGTTGTCAGACAACAAAAGGAACATGTTGACTGGATTACTGACAGGTGGAATAATTAAATTGCGCTTTTTGAACAAACACCAGTATGACTCAACAAATGTGATCCACTAACAAGTAAAAATATCCACCTGCCATAGTTGTGGCAAATAACAAAATCTTTAATGATGGTAAATGGCCTGTATTTGTATAGCGCTTTTCTAGTCCCTAAGGACCCCAAAGCGCTTTACACAACCTGTCATCCACCCATCCACACACTGATGGGAAAGCTCTCACAAAAGCCTGAACAGTGGAGCTTTGACCTTTAGCAACATTAAAAAAAAATAGGATGCATTCGACAAAATGATTCATAAACCACGGCCCTGTTCTTTAGACAAGGATACCTTGTAAAAAAGTATCCTTTTCCAGCTCACTTCAACAGTTGTCATAGTAACAGGTCCATCATGGCCGAGCACCTCACAAGTTGTCTCATACCATGGGGCAATTTCCCAGACTGAACAGGTTCTTACCTTTATTTGATACCTATTTCAAATTGTTTTTAATTACAATAAATCACAGCTAACACACTTCAACCAAAATCGATTGAAAACTAGACAGTACAAAAGACTGACATCGCTTTAGGGTTTGAAAAGTGAGGATAATGCAACATACTTTTTTTTTTAATGGCCATCAGGGGTGACAACTGCAAAAGGACTTTTGGTTCCTACAGATCTTTGTGTGAAAACTGCCTTTGAACTCCATCTCTGTAAATACTTTCCTAATGGGATTATGGGTTTATGGGCTCAGTCATTCGTTTTGGGTATGAATAGCACATTTGTAAATTCTGGTCATTTTAACTGTAAAAAGAGGGGAAAAAACAGTGCTGGCTAAAAAGATGGTCACTGACTAACAACTTGTGACTGACAAGTCTGCTAGTATGAACCACGATGTGGTGTGGTTTCAGCCAGTCAGGCACCACTCAATTTTTGTAAACCCAGCCAGTTGGTGAGGCCAGGTTGAAAACAAGAGTGTACGATTGTGTCCATTTTTACCACCAGTTAAAGTGCAGAGATCTTGGACTGTACAGAAGGAGATATTGGACGGCTTGAAGAGTAAGACGTTCTGGAGAAAACGTTGAAAAAGACAAAAACAAAAATACTGCAATCACTGTGCTTCCTCTTTCAACTTCTAGTCCTATATCAGTATTGATGTTGAAGTTGACGTTTTGCTTCAGTGGTGACACCTATTGTCCACGGGAGGACTGCATGGCCTCAGTGCCAGTATAAATGGTGAGGAGGCATTGATGACGTCAGGTCTTCTGACACAACCAACACAAAACCATAACAGACATTATAACAGGGCACAAATCAGCGAGTGACGTCATGATGTCTGTGTTCATGTTTTATACTGAGGATGCAGAAAGTGAGCTGATTTGTGAGCACCACAAACAATATTATAGTGAGAGCAGAGAAATGTCAAATGTAATGACTTTCCCCTTTTATTTTGCTCACAGCTTATCAATAATCACAACTGAAGTTTTCTGTGTGACTGTTCATGTAAAAACATTAGATGCTGTTGTGCTGCTGTACATGTAGTATGACTGCAGTCTTTGCTTACACATTCCAGACAAAAACCGTTGAAACTGTTAATCCGGCAGGACAAATTGAGCATTACATCCCTTTCCACCCTCATCCTCAGGCCTCATCTGCTGAAAAATAAGTCGAGGCTCTAACACATGAAAATGTGTAAATATGCTCACTTATAGAGCAGGGCGATATGACCAAAAATATTTATCACGATATACATTTGAAATTTTGCAATAACGATATAACTGACGATATAATTGACACTAGACAAAATACTTTACAACTCCACAACTTTATTAGTGAAAAAAACCCATCAATGTATTTTCACTTAAACAAGCAGCTGTTTTTTATGTGCATTAAAGTTATATAAAAATTTAACAGTGCAAATTCCTCGCTGACAGTTTAACCAAAAGGCATTTCCAGTGGAAATTGGCCGACATGTCGTCAGCATAACCATGTATAATATCCACAAAACTTAAAAAGAGCTTATACACACACAATATGGTAATATTATGCTGAAGCACAGTACGTATCACTCCGCGAGGCTCCTGCCTACGATAGCCGTAATGCTCCGACAATCCATCAAGCTGTGCGGCTTCGTAGCTTAGCAAAGACGTCTGACAGATTTTCGAGCCCTGTGTACCACATAAAATCGTTTCAAGGTCAGTAAACACAACCAGAGTTCATACATAAGGCACACGGGATTATAAGGGGCGCTGTCGATTTTCAGAAAAATCAAAGGATTGATTTTAAGTGTGCCGTATTTTCCAAAAAACACGGTAATAACGACGGCCCGCTAGCATGCGGTACCAAAAATAGTGCTTTGTTGTGTATCTGATGGACAAAAGCTAAACCAGTTCCACACCACTGAAGTTGCAGCATTTTTACAAACCAGTTCTGGTTCATCAGTTTCATTCAACGATCCGCTTTCGCTCTTCTCATTCTCCGTCGCCGGCACGCTTTTTCCTCCATGTGCATATGAAAACAAAGGCACTGCACATGCGCGTTTTACCCATATTCTATTGCAATATTTCATTTTCTTATCATTGCCCAACATTATACCAGTATTACCGTGAACAGTATGATATGGCCCAACCCTACTCACTTATTCCTGATACTGTTATTCTGGTCACTAAAGACGTCAAATGTTGATACCATTTCATCTCTAGCACTCAGAAATGTAGCAATTATGTTTTATGAAGAGATGATGTGGGCTGAGAATTAAAGTATAACACAAGCGAAAAAATTACTATTTCGTCTGAAATGAGACAAGAAAACGCTGACATTCAGCAGGCACAATACACAACCTTGTTGCAAATGGTTGGTGCCGATGTGTTAGGAGCGTCCAGCAAGCCAGTGTGATGTTGCTCTGCTCATTTACAGCAGTAGCTTGAAGCTTGGCTAGGTCAGCAGACTGCACCACAATCCCTGCTGAGGAATTTGACAGGAACTGTCCACGGGAACAGTTTTTTGCACATTAAGTATTACTCAAGTGCATTCAAGTGTGATCTGAAGCTGTCATCCCCATAGGCTGTCGGCAGGGGATTTCAGAAGTTGAGAACAATATAAAATAGCTGAAGTTATAGTTTTAGAGATCCTTAAAACTTAAACTCAATCAGCATTCTATTCTGAATGAAGGACCCTACATACAACAATAATTATTAGATCCCAAGTTGTGGGACTATTTGTTAATCAAACCTGGTCAAATTGCAGTCCCACAATCCTGACAAGGCAGATTTCACACAGTTAATATTTACTGTTATAGGTCCCCCATTAACCCAGTTTAATCACACATGAACGCAATGTTATCCCTCAAACACTACTGTCATCAGAAAACCACCTCAACTATGAATAACACACTTGTTAGCTCAGTTCACACTCCAGTCTGGTCATTACCGCGAAGAGGTCTTTTAAATTAGGGCTTATGGGACACCATACTCTGTATACCGCAAAAAGATTAATGATAAAACAAGTCAAGGACAGGTAGTTTCTGTTTAAGTTATGTTTCTGCCTGGTTACAGTTTTAGGTGGTTGTATGACCTAACATAGATGTTAGTAATGTTTGCTTGAGCAATTTTCTTTGGTATCAAAGGTTTCATAGACCAAATATTTGAAGCAAAACACTCAGGTGATTAATAACTAATGAAAATGTGTTAGTTGCAGCCTTTCTCATGAACACATCTAAAGAGTTTTAAAAAATGACGTCATTTGTTGGGGGGGGGGGGGGGGGGGGGTGAATTGTGGAAAGCTAATAATCATAATTATTAGACAGGAAAACTACACACAAACATTTACCACAACTCCACTGTAAGTTCCCAAGGATACCTGTAAAAAAAACTTTAGTCAAAGCAGATACACACGCAGGACTTAACAAAAGGTCCATGAATGAAGGATTTGTTCATTTTAGCCAAAGACCGGATATTATTGCATAAAAAATCCCAACGAACTATAGCTGTGCATATTGAAATCTGTCTGTGCTTTTCATAATGAAAACTGCTGTGAAACAATGAACCTCAAATTCTCTGAATGGGGTCAAACTCTAAAATTTGAAAAGCTGGAGATCTACAGGCTGTGTTCAGTAGGACAGAGCCTATTTTTGGACATTCAATCTGTACTGAAGCTATAATTTCTGTTCAGATGCAGTTTGTCTTCTGCAAGCTATATCTGAGGACAGCCTGGCCATGGGTCAGAGAGACAGTCAACACTGAATTAACCTTTTCCTATGTCTCAGAATAGTCAATCCGATTTATCATTATTCGCCTGTGCAAGTCCCTGCTACTCCTTTAAGTCATAAAGCAAAGCATCTCCTCTCAAACACTACACGAAGGGTTGAGAGAAAATAAGAGGAGAGAGAGGTGATGACACCTGGAATGATATACGGTAAGTTTTGACAAATGTCACATTTCAGAAAGCATCAGCAACACAGCAAGGATGCAGGCATTAGAGCAACAATGGGTAGACGCCAAATTAAAATGACACATGGACAAGTTAGATAAAGGTCAAGAAAATTAATAGCAGGCCATGAATCTACACCTAAGGTGAACAACTACCAAAACACATACTACATGCCAAAAAAGGTAGGATGCCACTGGACAAAGTGACTTGTCTCTGTGTGTTTTTCCCCCTAGAAAGTCATACACTGCAGCTGTATTTCTGTATTAATTATAGTTAATATTTTAAAGAAAAATCTCTGTGAGAAACTAGTTGAACTATTGAGTTCAACCAAAGGAAAAAAGTGTCAACTCTGAATACATGTCTGGCAGGTGGGGTTAAGAGCACCAGCTGCATGAGTGTATTAGCTGGGAATCAAAGGAGCTTGCAAAGAAAAGCGTCTGGACTTCTTTAAGTTGCTTGAAGACGTTTCACCTCTCATCTGAGAAGCTTCTTCAGTTCTAAGCTCCTTTGACTACGATGACCTGGATGACTGAGAACCTTCACAGACATTAGCTGGGAATGTTTCCTCAGACTAAAATGATGTCTACGCATCACACCTTAAAACCCAACTAAAACTCACTGACTGGAAATACATCTTCCTCAGTCTTCATGTGTAGATGAATGATTACAGCACCCTTACTGGTACTGACCATCATACTAGGCACATGGGGAAGATGGAAGCCTTAATGATTACTTTTCACAATAAAAGCCTCACTGAACATTGATTAACCTGGAGATCGGAGGTTTTTCTGGTGTTTAAACTTGTGGATTTGCTTTGACTCAGCAAAGCAGTTACAAGGTAACAAGATGACACACCCAAGTTAAACTTGTCCAACTACTAGCCTATGACTGGTTTTAGATTTTAATAACCATCATATCTCCTTTAGGGTGAAGATAAGACCAAGATAAGATGTGTTATATTCTATAAAATTAAACATAGAAGAAACAAATAATTCCAAAATAAAATTATTAAATACAGTCATACAAAAGTGTAAAAACTGACCGCCTAATGAAAATACAAAAACCGATCACAGTCAAAAAGAGTTCTTCCAGAAAACAGAAGAGTTCTTCCAGAAGATGTCCCTTTCTCTTTCGGACACACTTTTCACATTCAAAGGCAGGCAAATCGCCCCACACTTTGTCCACAAAGTTGCCACAAGCCAAGCTGATGTTGTCTAACTAGTTAGTTAAGTAGTTAGGTGGTGGCAAAAATTAGCAAGTTCTACTCATACCAGTGATTCACCCACTGAATTACATGCCTTGCACTGGGCTTTTTGTTGTTTTTTGCCTAAGCTATAGCCTGGTATTAACATTGTTTACAGATAAAATATAGCTCTAGAAATTTTCAATTTTAGCAAGGGAATAAAGAACCAGACAAATATTTCATACTGTTATACCTGTTCAGCTAACATCTATTGACTTATGTTCACTAATAAAGGTAGGCTAAATCATTTATTTCTGTATTGACTAAATATGATTGGGTGCCATCCTGCTGGTATGCTGGTAAGCAAGAGATAAACTCCCCACTGTCTCCTTCCCCTCTCTCCCTGCATCTACATGCAGCAACTCGTAAGCAGCTTCGCTGTTCCCAGTCACTGCTACATAATTAGCAATAAGCATTGTAGCTTATGAACAGTGCTACATACATTGTTTGCAAGATTAAATCCCTTCTCCCCAACCCACCTTAGTTTAAGATGATCTGATCAGTCTGACTTGCATCATAGTATGATTACAACATTGCAGGCTAGTTTCTTACTTAAAATGACCTGTCTCCTATACATAAGTGTAACTGCTGACCTTTCTGTTGACAGAAATCACATGACCTAGTATAAGTAAACATCATGACTCCTGCACCTTTGAGTGTCATCATTGACAATGCTGGAAAATATATTTTACTCAAGCAATCGCTGGATAGGTTTTTACTTCTGAGAATCACTCTTGATGTATCTCTCAGCCCCAGATGAATTGAGCCAGACAGAACAGTCAGATATATTGGGATTATGTAACGTTGTATTAAAATGACATATTACATGCAGAAAATGATGTTTTTACAATTATTTACTGTTGTATACAGTTACTACTACTCTGCCCCTAAACCTATTTAGAAGCCTTTCTACTGATCACAACAACAACAAATCAGTGAGCCAATTAGATTTTCACCTGGCAGACTAATGTTAGGTTTCTTTCCAGGGATTCCTGAAAGTGATCCCAAACACCCCACGCTAAATTTGTAATGTCATATGATGAGAAGATGATAGCTATGGAACATTTGGCCCAGCAGCTTTTTTGACACTAATATTAATTACATGTTATGTCCTGGACACCAGATATTTTAGTTAAAAAATAAATACTATTTCCCCCTGGAAATATGCTTGAAAAACAAAACGAGGCTAGCACTGCAATGCCCGCGTGTGTGCTTAAAAAAGCCTCTTGAGGCAAAAGTAAGTGGCGCACAGATGGAGTATTTCTGGTGTAGACATCTGTGTAATCAAGCTGGGACCTTTTCAACATTCACTACTGAAGATAAACAACATACTTGTACGAAATCATAACAGCAGCAGGCAGAACGTGACCCTGCTTGGCAATAACAGTGTAGTAAACATGAAACCCACCACAGTGTACATCATCTAAGACAAAACTACATATCCGCACAATGGGAGTCTTTCCCCAATATCTATTTACTCTGAAAATTTTCTAGCTGCCTCTTGCTATTGCTGGCAGTTTATCTTACTAAAGCTCTCGTTGTACCTCACAGTTGTAAGACCTGCCGCCTTTTCTAAAACTGGTGCTGTAACAGTATAATATAGAAATGTACCTGCAACTACACAGCGGTACCCCTCATCAGTACAGCCTGCTAAAAGTAAACAGATGACAACACCGCCGGCTAATTGAGCGGTTTCCAGCACAAGATATACAAACCTACATTTCGGTAAATGAAGCGCAAAACATGGAACCATGCAACGACTCCAAATCGCATGGATATATGTAGCCAGAAATTAGATCTGCTCTACGCCATTTCAGGGAATATTAGAGGTGCAGCTTGGCGTCTTGGCCTTCTCTGACAAGAAGCTAAGCTAATGTTTAGTAATTATAAGACATGAACAACAACAGAAATTGGTAGTGTGGTTGTCTGTCGTATGTAGCTGCAGTGAGTGAAGCATTATTTGGATGTCGTGACAGTCGGTTGCTAAATATTTGGTGGAAAAGCTAAAGCTACTTAGCTGGGCTGGCAAGCTGTGGCTAACACCCCCACCCTCGACGCAAAGGGACAAAAGGCCCAAACATTTATCAGCCGCTATCAACCTTGACACAAGCTACTCCAAGGCAGCTTGTGTAAAGATTCCTCTGTAGATTTTTAACACTGCCAGGGGTCGCTTATTGTTATCTAAATATGTTAATAGAGAAGGATTGGAGCTGTCATCCCACCCCTTCTGTCTCTGCTTTTACCACGTCATTGAACTATCCAACACTGCGGAAATACGCCGCTAGCTAGCGGCTAAGAGCTAGGTAAATGCTAACTGGCAGTCTAACTGGCACTTGTTGTAACTTACCCGTGTCTCCGATGATGATGTATTTGAAGAGGTACGCATACGCCATGACCCCTGGTTTGTGCAGTTAGCTGTCTAGCCCGTTACACCTTCGTAAAATCGAACGTTACCGTGTGAAGAAAGTGGCTGACAGACTGTTAGCCCGTTTCTCTCTGTCCGTGCTGAGGAAGGAACAATAAACAGCCAGAGCCTCGGCTCGACGTCACACGGCCCGCCCTCGCCACGCTACACAATGAGGTCTTCAGGGTCTGCTCGGAAATTTACGATGCATTTCACTACTTCCACTCTTAGTGGAAATGATGGGGGGAAAAAAAACACCTTAAAAAAAAAAAAGTCAAACAAATTTTTCAGGAGGTATTAGAATCACTTCACTTTGTTATTAAATGAATAAAAAATGAAATAAAAAGGGAGCAGAGATCACTGCTGCCACCTTCACAACATATAAAACAAATTCAAGGATAAACAATGTAAATGAAACAACACCGTGAAGCGGTATGCATAATACCATAAACAGTACCACATAGCAATGGCGATTCTAGGCTCAAACCTTTACGGGGACTCAGCTCCCAATCATGTCATGCATGCAGTGCAGTGTAATTAGTATTAATGGAATATGGTGTTTGCAACAAATATAATAATCCCCTTTTACAGTTGCAAACCTCTATTCGACTGGATAAACATTACAATTTTACCTTCAAAAGCAGCCTAGCCAATAGTTGGATGATCAATTGTAGTGTCAAAGCATGATTCAGAGTAGTGATGGGATTTCCGACTCTTTTTAGAGAACGGGCTCTTTCGGCTCGGCTCATTAAAAAGATCCGGTTCTTTTGGCTCCGAACCGGATCTTCAGGTTGTTTTGTTGCTTTAATTAATTTAATTTAATTAACAATAATATAAAATTATGCACAAATGGAATGTAAAAAATGTAAAAAAAAAAAAAAGTGGTTTTATTTATATATGTTTATATATAAATATTTACGGTGGCCCCTAGAGACAAAGCACGTACAAACTCCAAAACACAGCTACCTAGATCACTTAAATTACACAATTGAAAGCATACTTGTATGGTTTGTGTATTTATACACAACCACTCATATATATACAAATAATTAAAAAAGTTCATTTACCTGTTACTACCACACACCAAATCCAGTCGTTGGTACTTGCTGGCTTGTGTAGCCACTAGGTAACAAAAGCTCAACACTGTGCCTAGAATTCTGGAGCACTTCTGTTGTCTTTTGTAGGTGTTTTGGAGTTTTTACGTGTTTTGCAGTTTTTACGTATTTTGGAGTTTGTACGTGCGTCAGGGTAGTTAGCAATGCTACACACCTGTTACTCTAGTCTGTATTATGTAATGATTCAGCACTCCTTAGGTTTTGTTATACATTTTCAGACAGCGATAAGATCAGCTACACACTCCACAGAGGCCCAGAGTTACTGTTAATATAAAAAAATGTAATGCTGTCCTTTGAGATTTTAGCATTTAAGACTATGAGTGTAATGGATCTAAAACTGTTTAAATCTTCAGAACCGCCTACAGTCAGGTAACATTGAAACTAAAAACAGCAGCAGAAGGTTTCAGTAATTTCAGTAACTAATTTGTTCTTTTCATTTAATAATAGTCTATATTATATCAACAGCTACATTCACCCTGGAGAGAAACTAGTGAGGCAGACCATGAGGACTAAGCTGGGTTTCTGGGACCAGAGGTTTGGAGAAAGGTCTTTCCTTTCTTTCATCATCACAGCTGTCCTGTGCCAGATATTCTGTTGACCAACTGAGAGTCTTCATTTAAGAAACACCAGGAAGACCGAAGCTCATGGCATTGATCAAGCGGGACTCATCATCTTCTTTTTTTGCCTGTCCCGTTTGGCTCTTTTGCCATCAGAATTGTTGTCTAAAGGCAAA